ATCCAGTGAAGACAAGACAACTCAGTTTTCGACTGAAAATGCGTAAAGGTCATAATTGCGTCGTCGTAACTAAAATAATAATTCGAGACAGATTCTTAAAACAGTGTAGCTTGCAGAATATGACTTAGATTAGAAGCCAATACCTAGTATCAAACTAAATAATACTGATTCTGAATAAATAAACACAACGTGCTTACATTCATTTACGCAAATGATTGTTTATGCATGTAATTGAAATTATATTGAGGATTCATATCTGCACTATGACTTCATTTTAACCGGGCTTCATCTCCAGTTGTGTCAACAAAATATTTAGTTAAATGAATTATAATACAAAATAGATATGGCTTCAAGCATACTAAATTGCTGAAGTGTCAACATTAATTTATTAATGTCGCACTACTATGTATTGAAAGTTTGCCTTTTTTCGAATACATCCTCTCATAATTTGTCTTTTTGTTGTCATCACAAAACGAATAAGAAGATGCGGATTCTTGATTTAAACTTGTTATCAGGAGGCATTATTTTGTCGATCTACTCGCCATTTCAGAGCGACAATTTGTTGACATTTTTAGTGAATAATTTTAAGATTACAAGATATAAATATTATTATTTGTAGAGTATATAAAAATAATGATATTGAGGTTGTGCACTAACAGTAAACTCACTAGTAGAATGCAGTAAACAAATCCTAGGTTAATTCTGGTTAATCTTGCAATGAGAATGAAACGTTTCGAAGTAAGTAATGAACGATATTTGAGTCAATGACCATTTATCAAGAAGTACAAACATTTATGTCATAAACCAATGAATTCTGATATCCATTTGAACATTAGAAATTTGAAGTTCAGTGAAGGGACCTGTTTTCCTGAAACCAGTACCTCTACTCCCTTAGGGTTTATACACTTATAAATAAATGCCAGATTGACGTGTTCAGCCTATCCATTTTGTTTATATATCTAAGTTTTTCAGTTTCATGAGCCTACCTTCTCGTCATGCATGCGTATCGATACATTAGGCTAAGTCTATTACTCCATATAAAGTATATGAGTAAAAATCCAGTTAACAAGAGTTCGATCCATGCTACGTTCTTTCATTCACAATTGGCACATGCCCATGATTGTTGAATTTCACTTAAATCATGGACCTATAAATAATAAATCAATCTTGAAAATCTGGAAGCACAGGACTGCCGTTTCGTCCCACTTAGTGACGATCCGCACGCGAGATTGCAGGGGTGCACTGCTGAGGAGTCTCATGCAAGGACGAAACAACCGACCAATGCTTTCAATGGTGGTCTAGCATTTCATCTTAAGTTTTTAATTACCACTGGTCAGGAATTACTTAGGTTGTACATTTTTCACATTAATTACAGCATACATGACATCACTATTTGTAAAATCTCAGGGAATGAATTCGAAGTAAATCCAACGTTTCGCTTGGCAATCGGATCCAAGCTTTTTCAAGAAAAGAACCTTATTTTCAAGCAAAACGTTGAATTTAATTCAAATTCATTTCCTGAGATTTTACAACGCACTTTTCCTCCTCAATGCCTCACACCAACTCGGCGCCCAAATACTATGAAACTATTTGGTCAAATTAAGACGAAAGTTCTTAAACATGGCATCAGTTTGAAACCGTTCATTCTCTGTAAGTGGATATCCCGCTGATCAATAAATCGCGTACTTTTAGTCATTCTGTGTGCCACTGTGGAGAAAACATAATCGTATTGAAAATACTGAGTGAAGAATAATAATAGAAATATATACTATAATAAGTTAATTTTCATTGATTTATGATCAATTATTTAAATTACTTAGGTTCGTCAGAAACGTTGAAGGTGTGCAACGTTTACAGATAAGGAGTTTTATTGGGTGAGCTCAGTAATAGTGACTACCTTCAAACCAAAGAGGAGTGAGATTGTGGAGGTTAGTGCAGACAGTTGCGCTCCTGTTCAGTCCAACTTCGAAACAAGTGTTTGGTTAATGAACGGTATTACATACAGTTATAAATTCAAATGTACAAAGTTGACAAAGCAAATGTTGCTACCCAGTTATTCAAACAATAAATGTTCAACAAATGCAAGCGATGAAATCCTAATTACACCAGGTAGATAAATTGATAAGTAAGGCAGTTATCAGTTTTAATAAATAAACGTTTTCATTGATGTAGGTATACTAATTCGTTCTATCTGGATTGATTACGTATAATTTTTTTTGAATTATTATATCTCTAAAAATTTCAAAAACAATTATAATAAGAATTACTGATTTCAAAACTGAGAGTTCCCAGTTCTTGAACTGTACGTCAGCTCACAACAATCAAATGCCTTTTCCATCTCTTTTGCTTTCGTTGCCCATCAGTGCTCACGATCGTTCTTTAGGCTTTTGGTTAACCTAGATCTGATATGCTTCTGTTCTTCATCGTCTCCAGAACATGATGGGACGAATTTACGTGAATTCATCAGTGCAATAGTCTTAACAAAAATCCACTGGTTTTCCGTGACCATTTGGTTCAAATCACTAATAAATGTCGCTGCTGTTTACCCAGCTGTTCGTATATCTTTCCAAGCAATATCTGGGTCAGACTCGTTTTCAGAACTGCCTAAGTGTGACCTCAGTTGTTCCCAGAACTTACTTTTGGCATTCTCGTCCCCCAGTTCAATTCTAATAGGCCTTCTTAGTGTGGTTTCACTGAGTCCAGTGAGATGCGAGCAAATGCGTGCTCGTATTAGTGCATGATCGGAGTCTAAACATGTGCTCCAGAACGAGAGACAATCTTTTATCGAGCCTCTCCAACGATGACTGATGGCAATATGGTCTATTTGAGTCCATCGTTGGTTTGGTGCAAGGAGTCACCATGTTAGACGATGTCTGCTTATACATAAAATTTGTGCTTGCTAAAAATAAACGATTGTCTGAGCATAGTTGCAACAGACGGTCATCATTATCTGTTCGCTGAGCCGGAATACTAAAATATCCAATTAAACGTCTTTCTGTTTGGTTTAAGTTATCTACTTGGGCATTAAAGTCACCTGCGACCAGTACTAAGCCTGAGTGTTTAGCTTTATGAAGTTCAGGAAGCTTTCTGTAAAAGTCATCTTTCACTCTATCCGGGCTGCAGCCAGTGGGAAAGTAGGCAGAAACGATGAGAAGGCAACGTGTGTCTCTATTCTTCCGAGTTCTTACGGAGATATTTAGCCAAACATCACATAGGAGACTGTTAACAGGGACCTATTCTAATAGTGCTTGTTCTGTCCTCGTACTTAGAGTTATGCCTACACCTGCAAGCCCACCGGTCAGGCTGTAACTAACTGATTAGCAATGGATCAGAAATAATGAGTGTTGTAAAAGCCAATAGATCAAACGGAAGCTTACAATAAGAGGAATACGACAACACATCAGTCTAGTTATTTGATTATTATACAGTAACTGTATATATAATGATAAACGGTAAATTAGCTATGCGACTTACCATTTCTTCAGTCTTCTGATATATCATAAATTGTGGATCAGTTTACCTAGAGGTGACTTCCTGAAGCATAAGTGATTTGTTCCTGGAATGTCTACAAGTTAGGAGTCAAACACTTGGTACCAGTGGTATGATCGTCTTTCTGTATCACAACAACCAAAGTTGCAGACTTATACAGCAGAACAGAAATCAGGTGGTCCTAATAATTTAGCATTTGCCACGAGAACAAAGGGATTGTGGGTACGCCCTACTATGGATTTCCATATTTTGACAAAACAGATGTCTTATGTTTTCCGAGACCAATATCTGAGAAATTAAACCATATTCACAAAACCTTACCATACTTTATTCACAACAATGCACATATCAAGTGATATTTGACTAAACACTTAATCTGATTTGTAATTATATGATTCTTTTCTCTCGAACTACAAACACCTACGAAGACAACCTGTCACAAAGGAAGCTATTCAAAACAGGATGTATTCACTATTTCAGAATAACAAGGAAAGTGAACCTCCAATTGAATCAAATGTTGATGTTAACAAGGACAGTGAAAGCTTGATAATTAAACTATCCAGTTCACATAAATTAACATAAGCATACAAAGTATGTTCAGTAGATGAGTATCAGACAGTAGTGCAAGGAAACTGGTCAGTTTGTGACTGGGCCACTACTAAAAGCATTACACTTTCATAATAATAAAATTTTACTTTCGTTCAATATATACTATTTATAAGAAGGCTGCCACCCATTGTGAAAAACAGCTCAACAAATATTGTCTTTCATTTGTGTAAGAACACCTGGAATGATAGGTTCAGCTACATGGCAATGACAGAATGCGAAACTAGTTAAATACGAAAAAGAAGTGTTTCAGTTGTCTATGCCGTCTTTAGTAATAGTACTAATAATAATAATAACACGAGAGGTTCAAAATATGATTAGGCAAAATAGTATAACGGCAGTTCGAGAGACAGAATATTGCAAACAAAGAAAAACAAAATACAAATGGAAACGAACGCACAGACACAACTGAGAAAAGATAGCTATACAAAGAATGATTAAATAGTACAATATATAAATATACTACCGAAAAAACATAAAATTGGAGAGGAAATTATTGTTACAATATAACATTTAAATACAGGACCAACTGGCAATGAAAAGTCATTACTGTAGTTATACAACGCTACTTTAAATTCAAAATGAATGGAATTGTTTAGTTAAAAGAAGAGAAATGCAAGGGAAGCAGAAACTCTAGTATCAACATGTGTACATATACAAGCTTACCTTTGAGGTGAGATTAGTATTACCAATATTATTATTATTATCACTGTTAATACAGGAGACTAGCGTAGGCACAATACAAGGAGAAAATCAATAAAAAAGGAAGTAAATGAGAAAGACATTTGTCATTAGATATGTGTGATTTCTAACATGCCAATAAGGAACGTTGTGAAGACATCAATCTCCTACTTATGGCATTACCGATTATGCATTATTATTAATGGGGTAATGACAAATATATTTTAGGTATGTGAATTAGTAAGCTGCCGTTGCAAAGCAGCAATATAATTTTGGGCTTGTAAAGAAGCTACTGCCAACTGCTGCTCTTGTTGTTGACGTAAGACAAGTGCAGCAGCGTTTGCGACATCATTATTTCTTTGTTGTTGTTGGAGCAAAACAGCATTTTGAATCAGGGCTAACGCTTGATTTTGTTGATGTTTTTGTAAAGCTGCCAAAGTTAAAAGATGTCGTTGTTGATATTGCTGAAGAACAGAAGTTGCATTTAGATTTTCAATAACTGAATTTAGTGTCAACTCTGGTAGAGTACTACTAGTTGTCGATTGTTGTGTGGATGAACGAAGATTTGAAAGCCAATCAGTTGTTAAAGATGATAAAAGAGGATTTGATAGAGACTGATTAGCTAAAACACCAAGTGGATAGTTTTCTATGATGTTTTGTGTCGGTACTGTGACAGTAATGCCTGAACTCAAATGATTATTCTGCTGTGGATGCTGAATATGACGCATTTGACTGATTCCAAGTAATTGTTCCATGAACAGTGGATTAACAGAATTTTGTTGCACGACATTCAGTGCAGCCAAATTTGTCTGAGATGGGTCGAAACATGAACTAGTAGCACTTGATAAACTAAAATTTGTAGCATTTAGACCAATCTGCTTGGACGGAGATATGACGGATGGAACAACCTCAGTAGTTAGTGATGCTAACGATGTACGTAAGGCGCCAGTTGTAAGGGTTTCAGTGGTAAGTTTAGCAACTGCTTGGCTATCATTCTGCAACTGACTTTGTTTTATTCCACTAGAAGATATATCATCATGAAATACTCTAGAAGACGAAGTTGCAAAATATTCATCTCCAGCCTTACTCAAATTATTCAAGTTTTGTTTGTGAGTGAATTGATTATTTTCAAAACTACTTGGTCCTTCATGAATTTCGTTAATTGACGAAGTATGGAGTGTATCAGTACACAAAATATTCAACTCACAATTATTCGATGATACAAATGACTGTGTAGAACACGCACTGCTAGTTACATTGGCTAAACAGTTAACGGACTGTCCCTTCAATATAGATGGCTCTTTTATCTTACAATCTGAACTAAGTAAATCGTCAGATAACTTTGATCGCTTTGCTGACAGAAGGTCAGAGTTCGGTGAATAATCGGGGTTGAATGTAATACGACAAGTGGCTGTTAAAAAATATAACATAAATTATGTCAATAGATTTAAAAATATAACAAATAATGCGATAAAAGTAACTTTAAACCGATGTAAAAACCCTTGATTCAAGTTGCTTTCAAAACTTTTCAGACATTCAACTGTCTGTCATTAAAAACAAAATTATTTTTACGGTTTACCATTTTTTGAGTTAAATAGTTCAGTAAAAATCACCACTTTCACATCTAGTAAAATAAAAAGAACGAAGCACGTTTCTTTAGAATAATTCATCATGGCTCTACATTCATGTGCTTCTTGATAAACTTCGTTGGATATACATTCCTACTAAGCAGATTACGAACATTACTCACTATGGAAATAAGTAAATTATCGGCTTTCAGATTTTCTAAGTATTGTTTAACAATAAATAAATTGGAAGGTAACTAACGGACTAATTGAAGCTTGCTCAGCAGGAATGTATGTCCAACAGAATTTATCAAAAACACATGAACGAGATGAAAATATGACACAGAGTAACAACCGTTCCGAAGAGGTTACTGTTCTTAAAACTGCAATCCCAAAGTGAAACGACCGAGGAAAAAGGTTGTGAAAAACACATTTACTGAATGCGTTTTTAACAATCGTCCAATAATAAAAACCACTAATCAAGACAGTCTGCATTCGCTATTAATCCAACTATTCCCGCAAAACCAGTTGTACAGGGTGTGGGATTTGGCAAGTCCATCAATGCATAGCAGAACACCGTCCATCTTGGTTGAGCAAAGGACAAATAAAGGTAACTGAATGCTCAATTGTCGCTCGCTTAGTAGACAAAGGAAATCAAATTGATCTAAATAAGGTTTTTACGGTTACCAACCATATTCCATCAAATTCATCGCAAGGTTTACAAGTTTGTCTTATGGACATTGCTGAAGCCATCGGAATCCATCTTTACAAAATTAATCTTTGCATTCATAAGAAGTTTGCACAATCACTTTCTCTGCATTGGGCATTGATATGAGGATGAGTTTTAGCTGAACTTTGATGAAATTCATTCTTTCAGAAACCAATTTCCTAAGTCCTTTTACTTTTGTAGTTTGACAAATTTTCAGTCTGTTTTTTGAGTCTTACAAAGTTACCATAATATTGATTCTTTATCAATTCTTTGTAAATACTCCCAATCGTAATATAGCAACTGTTTAATTGAATTTTTCAAATGATTACTGATTAGTATAATCCTCTTCCTTTCAATTACTCGATAATTGTATATAATCACCGTGAAATCACAAAATTACGTCACCCAACTACTCGATGAGTATTATTTCGTTGCTGTAAATCTAATTGTTGACATTTAATTGTCCTTTAGGCGCTTACCTTATGCAACAGACGCGCCAATAATCTTTTTCGTTTCGCTGACTATAATTATAAAACTCATAACTTTTATTTTGAGTATGGACTAAATAGTCGAAAACCACAAAGATTTTGAAAGATTCTAGTGGTTCAACAATTAAATTTATAAACTTTAAAACGTTATGTCGAGTACTAACTGCTTTTGTATCGAACATTATTTTCTTGCGATGTGATTAGGTAGAAAAAACGACAAGTTAACAAGGCTATAAAATGATCCAATGAAATGAATGATATTTATACTTGATAAGCATTTATAGCTTCATCAAGACTCCCTATATGGATTTAAAACGTTATAGAAGTCAATAACAGAAGACAGGAACAACATTTCTGCAATTTTTAGTTGTACCCTTCATAGACATTCTTTTCCAACTGAATGAAGTGTAGTTACTTTCCTACAATAGTTAAATATATTCTGTTCTTGTTTTAAAAAAATAGCTATTCTAAATGCTTAAACATTTTGCAATCGATTACAAATCACGTGATATCATAATATTGGAACAATGTGTGAGTGACATTTCATCATAAGCATATAAACCTGAGTTGAATAACCAGCAGATTTTAGATTACGATTACAAAAAGTATTACAAAACGACTAATTAAAATACACAATCTAATGCCAATACTGGTGGTCAAAGTAAGTTATGGCATCAAGAGGTTACTTGCTTTTGTAGGTCTGTATTAATTGATGAGAATCTACCCGGTAATCGTGATCAATAGGCAAACACTTTGGGTGGAGTGGGGTATTATTTTCTAACATTAAAGCTGTATTCATTCCTTGTTTTTTCTTAGGTTCTGAGATTCAAATCGGTTTTTTCACCTTCTAGTATTTACTCTTATTTTTCAAACCATATTCTTCAATCTTTCCTCATTACCACTAATACTTCTTTTATCACTCATCTAATCGATTTCATTTTGTCATGCTAATCTGGTGTAACAACTTCGATCGATGTACAATGGTCCTAGGTATCACAGTGATTGTGAATGACATTCACTACTATACAGCTTTTTTCTAAAAAAGAATTCGACCAATGTAGAAGAACAGACCATTTTCTGAAACATCACTAGAGTCGTATTTTAGTAGCTAACACGTGACGTGTTGAGAACGAAGGGAAAAATGACGCTAAGTGACATCAACAGTAAATTAATGAAAGAACTCCCAATAAATCCCATCTCAGTTATCAATGAAACCAATACTTAAAACCAGTAGAATACTATCTATAACAAGTCATAAAAAGTTCCTACTTTGGCTACCGAACAATTTATTGATGTACTTAGTGTTAAATAACCTTCACTCATATTTATGATCCTTAAAATTTTTAAAAGAACATTTTCTACCTTATAACAATCAATTTTCGAACTGTCATACCGAATCCAACACTACTTCTAACAGATGCATGGCGTACAGAATAATTGCAAATGTTTTTCAACATTCGAATATGAATGTAATTTCCACTTTCCATTTTATAGACTACTTTATTTGTTCTTAACGAACATGCAGTTTGTCAAACGAATAATCAAACCTACGAAAATACTTAATATACAACTCAATTATATCTATACCTTCGATCACTAAATGGAGGAATCAGAAGGGGATTTCGTAAGTCAATCGACTCGTGATTTCAACTATAAAAATACTGAAATATTCACAAAAGCCCCTTCTGATATTAATCATATGCTCACTAGTGACAGACTTCAAGAGTTCCTGTGAGAAGCAGCAACCAGTGGAGTTCAACTAGGTCTGTTGCGCGATATCAACTCAGCGAAGACAATGGTGAACGGTTGCTCAACTTCGTGGATTGGTTGAAGTTAAATACTAACACCGATTGATGTCGGCTCAGTGGTCTAGTGGTTAAGCGCTCGCGCGCGAGACTGATAGGTCCTGGGTTCGAATCCCACGAGGCGGGATCGTGGATGCGCACTGCTGAAGAGTCCCACAATAGGACGAATAGGCCATCCAGTGCTTTCAGGTTTTCTACGGTGGTCTAGCTTCAATTGACTCATGATTTTAACTATAAAATGAGAAATATTGAAAAAACACCACAAACTAGCTAAATGATCAAGTATCGTGTGAGTTACGTTCAAATTTAACGACTTTAGATAAATTTGTTAAGTTTATGTGGTCAAAAGTCTACATATATGTTAGAATATGTGGTTTAGTGATAGGTATTTTAATTACTGGTCATATTAATTAAAATCGGTCAATGGTAAATTATGACTAATGCCCAATTTATCTTAAATGTATGGTATTTTGGTAGCGGTTAACAATAGAATTCAATATTCATGACATTATTTATTTAACACATAAATATTGGTACAAGGAAGCATCAGATACATATGCGCCTCACAAATCTCATTCGATTTGTGTGAGGGCTGTGATACTGCCCGAGTGCCCAGACCGAAGCAGGTGGTTTTCTTAGGGGGCCACTCCCGGAGCCTTTGACCTGAATATCTGATCCACAAGGCAGTGGAGCATCGTGAGGAGATGCAGTCCCATGGTAGCCGGTTACCAACAATTGGTTCATACATCATTTGTTCCTTCAGCATACTGGAACCCATGTGCACCAGTGGTTTGGAATCAGGTTTTCCCAACTCCCCTAGGTGGACCCTCCGTGTCCACCAACCCGGTTAAGGCGCCGGACATTCGATTTTCGTCTTCTCACTTTTGTGAACAACACAGCCGCCACGCGAAGGCAGTGAGTAGAACTTCCCTGGCAGAGGCCATTTACGCGTGGTCATGTGAGAGCATTTCGAGAGGGAGAGCGAACTCTCCCCACTCTCGGTCATACTATGGCATTTAGAGGCCGATTCATGACATTATATAACTAAAGTTTATTAATTCGATACCGTTTTATATTGGTAACCGTCAGTATTAATCAGGCTTAAATCAAACACTTGTTAATTACTAGACTGTTAATTTATGGTCTTTATCTTTGATAATACAAAATGATACACCTGATGTGAAATTTAAGTTTGTTAGCATTTGAATTAACTTGAGCTGAATCTGTAGTAATACTTCGACTTTGGTAGGATTTATATTTCACAAGCCTTTATATGGTTGTGCCTTAATAATAATATATTATTATTATTGATGAATTTATTAAACTGGAAATGTCACTTGAACGATAAGTCAATGTATATTAATCAACATAATAGAAGTGAACTGAAACTTAACTGAACAAAAATCATTATTTCAATCAAGTATATGAATTTCAATACTCCTTTCTTTCTTCGACAACATGGAATGTGTTAATATAACGAGGTTTATTAATTGTCAAGTGTATTGAAATCACAGAAACAAAAAAAGAACAATCTAACAAATAAAGATATACATAATACAATAAACTTACAAACTTCCTCTGATGATTTAACGGCTTGTGAAACACTATCACTACTATTTACACTACTTGGCACAGTTGTTAGAAATTGGGAAACACTATCCCTCACTGATTCATCTTTTAAAACGGATCCATGTAGTCTATGAACAAAATTTAATGTATCCTCAAGTGAAGGACCATCGATTGTTGGTGCAAAAATAAAATGAGCAGCGATTAATTCTTTTATACTGGAATTAATCTCACATTCTGAATTTTTTGTTGATAAATATGTGTATACTTCATCGACGTTATGTAGACGAGTACCATCAGACCTATTATGATGTATAAAATACTGTTTTTAAAAAATTTAAATGATAGAGAAAGTGGATGAAAAACACACTTGACAAATGTTAATCTTTAAGGAATATATTATCTATGTACGCTAATTTTATTCCATCTTTAATTCTATACAATTGGAAAGGTTTAATGTAGTTTACATATTTAACCACAATATTCAAAAACAAATAATCAGGTGTTATTGTGGAAAATTAAATGACTATACAATGTTTTTATAAGGAGTATCAAATTTTCATATATAATAAAACGTAATTCTGGTGAATTATAACAGTGATGAACTCTTTACTCCATCCTCATAGTGACATCGATTTTATAACAAAATATGGTTTGAAAGCAAAGATGAATAGTGGCTAGCAGTGGAATCCAGCTTGACGCACGTTTCGTCCTATTTGAGACTCGTCAGCTGGATGTGCCAGCATCTCAGAGTTGATGTTCACTCTAGGACTCTAACCCAGTACCATTCGCTTCAAATGCCATCGCGTTATCCACTCAGCTACTGAGTTCTGATAGCTACTTGCTTGTGCAATGGGGTGAAGTTTAAATTCACTTAAGATATGCCAATAAGAGACTGACCAGTTGCTGTCCAAAACATCAATGGGAAGATTCAAACAAGTAATACCAAATGAATTTAAAATATGGTTTGAGTTCAAATTTGGAAATTTTGTGATTTATAGTACATTATAGTTCACATTATTTATTTATTTATGAATATGGAGGTTAAACGAGTGTAATTTACATGAATAACCACTTGGATCAGTCAAATGGAAGTACTTACTAATCTCACAAACGGATTTAAATTAAGTCAAGACACGAAACGCTGTGTTTAGGCTGATCTAAAGGTTAAGATTTTTACTGAGTTTTATTTTGTTAAATCTCAATAACGGAGTTGATAAAAACATGTGTAAAACCTCATTTTAAATCCATGTTTATCAACCATCTTAACGCGCGATGATGGCCGGTGTACCAGTAAATGGGAAGAAAGTCAGAGAAGGGTAGAACAGTACATAAACACGAACTGTTGGGCTGAACCATGTAGGTAGATGCATACTACCTGGTTGGGTCTGTTTTATTGACGTAATCAATGGTTTGATGCACTGGGTGACATGGTTCAAAATAGTTTGCAATGGTTTAGCTGTATTCACTCCTTTTCTTCCCTTACATTTTATTATTTTACTGATTTTATGTTCCCTCGAATTATTTCTTTGATGCCTAATCTTTTCCATTGCCATTAGTACTGTTACTAAATTTGCTACTTTGGGATTCACCATGACAATTTCATCCTGCTGTGATAATGGAGTATGACAACTTGGAATGTGGTACCTTTACCGCACCAGGATCAGTATAGTGTAAAGTGAAACTTATGAGGGTTCGACTAACGTTAATAAAATACTTCGACATGCCATCATTATACAATATTGCACATAAATAAAACTTCACGAGAAAATAAGTGGTATTGAGAAACTATTGTGATATCGTAAACTTACAACAGGAGATAAAATGAGTTAATAGACTAGGAAAGAGTAGAGATTTTGAGGCTGTGAATTTCTGCTATATTATAATGGTTTTAATTATAGACGTTGAAATAATACTGAGATACTCACATTTTCATGTCATATATTCAACTCAATTCACTGATGAGAAATCTTGAAACAAGTTGAATATTTACAGCAAAGTATCATAGCATTCCACTTTGCACTTTACGTCACAGACTGATTTATGCTAGATGATCGAAAAGGGAGGAGCACTGGACAATAGCAATCCTCAGTAATTTCCAAGTGCGAATTGCTTAGGGATAAAACATCTGACTTTTAAGCTTAGTGGACACTACGTTATTTTTTAGACCATAAGGTTGACATTCCGTGAGTTATATCTTCAAATTCAGTTATTTCTCGACCATCTATTTACACAGTGCACTGAATCTTTCATTAGAGAGACCCTATACAAAGTTAGCGATCTTCTATTGCAAAAAAACTTCACTTTCCGATCAATATCATTAGGAAAATCATTTAAAATAACTTTGTTATGTAGTTAATTGAAGTTTTAATTATACTAATGTTATGCTTGACACTAAATCGATTCCGCGGTAACGAACGAAAGCCAATGACACGATAAGCTATTCTAATCTGTTGTCCCAGGCCCCGCTAACTAGATGAAGAAGTCCAAGGCAAGTAGGGGAATATATATGTATTCCGTAAGCAGCCGAGTACAAGCAATCAAATAAGGGGAAAAGTCAAGCGCATTTATACAGTAACGAATTGTCCTTGAGCATCATTAGTAAATAGCACACATAAAGAAACAATGGACCAATAGCGTTTAAGACAGTTTACAAGTGGGAGATATGACGTGAAGGTAAAAAGAGCGCGTTTGGCGCGAAAACAGCTAAATTCAAATTTTCAAAATAAAATTACAAAACTAAGCCATTTACCAAGTAAGTTCTGGGGATTTGACATCCCCAACAACTAACGAATTTGACTTGGTATAAAATACGACCTTAAATTATTAAGATTATTGACATCTCGAATTTGTGTTAGGTGGTAAAAGCTGCATGGATTTATTCTGCAAAGGTGTGTAATCTTAAGATACAAACTATGAAGAAGAAAATGATGATAACACTTACGTTATGTACACTACATTTTGTGCTTTCTTATTTACTAGACGGGTCCACCCTTTGTGAGATTCTTCATAAGTGGCTTTTGATGATGATCCAGTGGAAGGTAATGATAAATTAGATGATGAAATATAATTTGATCCAGTATCCAAAGAAGTAGACAATGTGTTCGCAGTTGTTGATATTGTGACAGTAGCTAGATAGTTTGACGCCCGAGGTCTTTTGGAATGACGTGATCGGTTATAAGAGTTTGTAGCTAAGTAGGCTTCAGCAGCTCTGGAAATCGGTTGATGACAAGCCAGTGCAGCTGCATGTGCTGCAGCAGCATAAGAAGCCACAATACGATCAGGAGGACTTTCTTCTTTAATTTTTGTATCACTGGAATGAATTCCATTGCTTCGTTGAATCAAATCATGACTACTCTGAAAAAGTACGGAAAAAACATATGAAGTAAACAAAGTAACAAACACTAGAAAGACACTATTCACAAACAAATTAAGCGAGCAAAGCACGAAGCGCGAACAGTGCTAACAATCAGTACTTGAATCGACTCACTCGTTTTTTTTTCAAATAAAAACACAATAACACAAAAGCAAAGTCACCACAATGTGCAAATGCAAATGCTACATAAACACATAGATATGTAGAAGTAAATAAGGACGAACATGAATGCAACCATAAAAATAACATGACGAAAAGCACTGGCTAAATTGTTTTACTATGCTCTCAATATATATATATATATATATATATATGAGCTATTACAAAAACCAATGAATAAACAGTGGACGATCATTCATTTACATGAATAAGGCTCCACAATAAAAAAAAAGATAATTATGATTCAAAAAACAGAGTTGTGAGTGCTAGGTTGTTTTATTTATGATTACCATTAACCAGTAGAGGCGCAGATGAATCGATTCGAATGTGAATCAGCCGTTGAACTGAAACAAGTGTAAGAAAGCAATAAAAAGAGCACCAACGAGAAAAATACATAAAATTTAACACTGTAAACAAGACAGTGATGAAACGAAACGAAGGAATTTTGAGTGAAAATACCCCCTTAAACTATTAATCTATGTTGAAAATTTGATATGAATTAAGTATTCTTAATCATCGTAAGCTTTACATAACAAGTATTTTTTTACACTGAATGGTTTACAACAAGCAAACTATAATCTGTATAAATTGATGAAAGCAAATATCAAACTTAAAGCATACATAGTACAGCAAACAACATTCCATCAGACAGTACAGTTACTCAACATTAAAAAAAACATGAATAAACCAGTGAGGTTAAAGAATAGAAAACCAAGGGATATTGTTACAGTTTTGCCAAACAAGGATCTTACATGATTACTCACCACAAAAGACTACTGGACGCCCAGATAAGGCTAGACTGTAAATCTACTATGAAAATTGAATTATAACGAATACATATAACATGATACGGGAATAGAAATACTAAAATAGCTGGGCGATTGAAGGAGGCCATTTCACAATTTTAACTAGAAATTTGATTCCAGTTTTGTTACCTACAATTACTAACTCGAAAAATTTCTCAGTGCCAAGGTTGGACTTCACATATTTAAATAAATTGAGCATTGGGTAGAAAGTTAATGATAACTATACTTTTTGTTATATCACATTGAGTAGAAAAATCGTATTTTCGACGATGTGTGACTCAATGTAAGCCACTTCTTCATCACAGAGAGTAGTCTAACATCCTCAACTTGCAGTGATCAGACATCACAAGCATAAAACAGGACTCTCACCGACAGGTTGTAGATCTGACCTTTTACAACCAGACTAGCATCACGAAGACGACAAAGATTGTCTAGATTGGCATAAGTCGCTCCGGCTCTCACTATACATAAACTGATCTTATCACTCACGCCACCACCAGCACTTACGCAGCTATCCAGATACACGAAATTCTCAACTACTTCTATCTGCTCATTATCCAAGGTGAGTGCAGGTTCAGAGTCCTGCCAGTTTTTTAAAAGTAACTTGCATTTCGAATATGCACAGTACATGCCAAACCCACGGACAATGACTGCCAACTGGTTAAATGCGGATTGCACTGCTTGGGTATTATCGCACAGTAAGACAATATCATCCACATACTCAAGGTCGAAAAGTCTTTCTCCGGGCAACAGATTCATACCACCATTACCTACGATCCCATCCGACTGGTTGCAATCACTAATCGTCACAATATATAAGAAAGGATCAAAATCATCCTGTGGCAACCACAGAGGGATTAGTTTGACCAATATAGCATCTAAAATACTAGCCTCAATAGTTATCAGACGCCTAACAAAGGTTCTTGGACTACAAACACGAGGAAATAAGGCTGGCTTCAGACCTGGTCATGACTGCATCGATCACATATTTTCCATTCGTCAGATCTTAGAACACAGGCATGTTTATCGGCGTCCGACAATGGTGGTCTTTCTTGGCTTAAAGGCAGCATTTGGGTCGGTAGACCGAGAGGTTCTGTGGCAGTGTCTGCCATTGAAAGGTGTACCTTAGAAGTACACAAACCTTGTGAAGGCTCTTTACTCGAACACTGCCGATCGAGTCAGAGCTCATGGAGAACTGTCATCTGATTTTGAAACCTCAAGCGGTGTCCGAAAAGGTTGTCCACTATATCCATTTTTGTTCAATTTCGTCAGAGACCTACTGCTGGGAATAACGTTTACGTTGACTGAATTTTCTGGAATCGACTTCCTACCAGGATGTCTACTTAATGATTTACAATACGCAGATGACATAGTTCTGCTTGTGAAGACGCTGATAGCACTAAGCAACAATGCCATGGTGTTTGGGATGCGTTTTTCACCCTCTAAATGCAAATTGTTACTTCATGATTGCCTGCGTCAACACCTGAACTAAGGATACGGAGTAAAGTAGTCGAACGAGTCGACCTCACCTATCTTGGGAGTCCGATCAGCCTTAATGGGTCGGTGTCTGACGAAATCTGAGCACGGATTCAAAAGGTTAGTTCGGCTTTTGCTAACCTACGTCAACTATGGCGAATGTGAGATATCCATCTATCAATTAAGGGACGAAATGTGGCCATTAAGGGTAGATGTTCGTAAGTTACTGGTATTTCGTCGCGCATGTCTTAGAAATATTGAAGCAGCTGCTTTTATGAATTTGGTGTTCATATTTCTGAGCTAATAAAATATGTCTACTTGGACAGATGCATATATATATATATATATATATATATATATATATATATGGTCTTACGTTGTAGTTAGCTGACTGACTGATAATTACTTACATTCATTAGAGCTGTTTACAAAACGCCATGGATGGCAAAGTTGAAGAGGAATGGTGAGATTGGGCAACCCTGGCTAACCACACTGAGCGGAATAATGGAGGTGGTTGTATGTCCTAAGATGTTAGTATATAAGGCTTTCAAGATGTTAATAAACTTCTCGGACACACTTTTTCAATAGACAATCACAGAGAACAGTCGTGTCCAATGAATCGAAGGCGGCCTTAATGTCAAGAGACTACGATTGTTGGCATGTAATAAGTATGACGGTGCTCTAAGATTTGGCAGATGGTTGATGGAGTGAATTCAAACAGTAAAACAAATCATTGTATTGCTTAGGTAACCAACATACAACAACATTATATAACAAAATTACTTAGTTCATTTCACCATTATCAGCCGAATAATAGGAGGGAAGCAGGTTGGAGGGGGCTTGAAAAACCTAGCTCTTGCATTTTGAGTATGGCTCATACCCGAATAACTGGTGAATAGGCTAGTTCATGTTTTCATTATCATATACCGAAATGCGTTGACTACGTGTACTGAAGTAAATACCACAAATACAACTGCACATTCCAGTCAAAAACAGGATGATAAAGCCAATACACTGAAATATAATTACTTCATACAACGGATAAAATGATTGAGACAATCAATCGATTGATGTTAGACCACCATTGAAAAATCGGAACCACCAGACGACCGTTTCGTCCCAGTATGTGACTCAGCAGTGCCATCCACGGTCCCACACACAGGACCCTTGGTCTCGCTCGCGAATGTTTAACCTCTAGACCACTAAGCCGTTATTCAACGGTGGTGGTCTAACATCAATTGATTCATGATCTCGATCAAAAACCTAACGATTTTCACAATCCCATACAGATAATTACCATACGCTCACTGGTAACTAGCTTCATGAGGGAATTCTCAGAGTTTTAGTGAGAAACCGTGACCAGTGGAGCTAGTCCGTGCCAGGTAGAGACAGGTATCTACCTCAGACAATGGAAGATGGTCGCTCGGTTTCGTGGATTAGTTGAAGTTAGACATCAACACTGTTGGACGCCGGCTCAGTGGTCTAGAATTAAAACGTATGCGCGCAAGACCAAAGGTCCTGGGTTCGAATCCCGTGTTTGTGATCGTGGATGCGCACTACTTAAGAGTTACACACTAGGAAGAAACGGCCGTGTGGTGGTCTAACATTAATCCATCCATGATCTCAATCAAAAACTTAACAATCACCACAACGCCATACAGAAGATATAAAATGCACAGCCAGTTGATTTCCCAAAACAATTTACGTACTTAACCAATTAATTCAAAATTACATGCTGCAAAACAGGTAGAGTTCTAAGAAACAACAAAGTGCAACACACCAAGACGGAACACTACATATAAATTATCGTGTTAGACAATAAAACTTGAGTAGTAATGACAAAGCAGGAACTCAAATCTCTGTGTTTAACATTCACAAAATGCACAATAGGTTTACAACATTCACTTCTCAGTAGTAAGGTACAAATACCTAACACGAATGAAAATAACCAATATCAAAAGATTTTAAAAAAAACCTATCGAGACAACATTCCCGACAGGTCAGATACAATCCGTGAGTCAGTTATCGTCAAACCACGGCTAGGGAAAAATATGTACCGCTGAAAGTTGCTATACTTCGCATTAGCACAGCGACACTAAACTAGCAAATTGAGAAGCAATTGCGGAAATAGTTATATTTGTGGCAATAAAAAAAACAGGTACACAGGACATCATTAGAAAAAGGGAGTCGGTAATAAGTAGCAAACAATATGGAGAATAAACGCCTATGGATAGATATTGGGCCAACACATCTCCATTAGTGTTACTGGTTTTTAGATACCTTATCTGAGGTCTCCGACTGCCAATTAAGGGTTACTATCCAGTCAAACAACGAAGTTTGCACTATTCCACATGATTCAATCGAATAGTTAGTGACATAATAGAGTGATTGTATATATATACCCGTCCAAATCCTTATAGCTTATTCCAAAACTAGTCAGTATAGGGTGTCAGAGTAGGCAATGGATGGGTATGCACAACACTAATAGAAGCCACTTCAACCAACTAACGTCTACTTCCCATATAGAAGTTTATCTTTAGGCACTGCCCAACATCAAGCGTAGCATTATTTACTTCACAGTCCTATTAAATGTCTCAAATACACCAATGATCAGACACTTAGGGCGTTCCCACAGTTTGACAAACTTTCACGACCACAAAGTAGTAAGAACCGAACTGAGCATTACGTTCTCTCTGATTGGCTGACTTTAATACGCAGGACATCTTACCTGAGCTACAGGTGTCCCAAGTTGGACAAGGTTATGAGACTTATTCATTTGCGGGCTAATGGACTTCGAAGGAGAAGTTACTTATTTCATACAATATCAAGGCTGCTCAAATAGGTAGTAGTTGCATAAGCATTACTTTTAGGTCTAGTGGCTACAATTATTAACACGTGTGGACTAACAGAAACAAGGTGAAATTTCAGTATGATTTTGTTGAATCTCATAATTGAGTGAAAAGCTAATAGAACATCACGTTTTGAAAGTAATTTACTCCGAGTCATTGTAAATTAATGTATTCCTACATCACATCTTGAGGTCAGTTAATTTGGAACACATATTTTACTATGATTCTCTACGTTTCGGTATCATGCCTTCGATCAATATATATAAAGAATCCCAAAATATGAGCATCCCCATAAACATAAAATTGTATCACAAAATATTACGGTTAATAATTAGGAATGAGTATTCAAAATACAAAAGCAATCCACTGCACATTATAAAGGGAAACTAAAACGACGGTCACTATTGTCTTGTCTCCTTTTGACCACTATTTTCAAAGTAGAACCTCTAACTATCCTACAAAAAGTTTAGATAACACATAACATAAGGCCCCACCAGTAAAAATAAAGCTTAATTAGATTATGCAAGGGAGAATTGGGTTATGGGTTACAAAAATACTTACGGCGCTTGTGTACATGACTGGACCACGAACAATCGTGTGAACAGATGGATCAGATGGACCAGAATCAATAACTGAGTGGGCCGTTTGGGTCACTGCGGTAGGATAACACAAAACTGGGTTTGGGCATCCTGTTGATGCATAAGAAACAGAAGGTATTACGCCAACCCCGAGATTCGGGGGAGGAATAATATTTGCGGTATTTATGATAGGTAAATTAAGTCCCAAACATAAGTTCCTAACGAAAGGGGCGTATCCTGCAAAAGGAAGACCAGAAGGTGAGCCATCAATACGTTGCATGGTCAGCCCTCCTGGAATAAGAGGTGAAGCATTAAACAAGTTATGTGGGATAGATAAGAAGCAAGAGAGACTGTCAACACTCTCACTAGGGAAACGAATCATCGGCGTATTTCTTGCCTATGCAATGAAACAGAAATTCCCGCCACCTCCAATCCCCGAAATGCGCCACACTTTTGTGCTAATAGATGAAAGTCCCAGATGTCCGTAGACTTTGAAACTGCAATCTATGATGTAAGCTAAACTTTTCTGTGTGACATCCATACAATGAATGAATGGCACATGAAATGTTCATTGAATATTGAAAGTCTTGGTGATTTCACCAATCAAACAGACCGGTGGCTTTTGTTAGTTTCTTACTATACCTCTGTATATATCTAGTCTCCTCCTAAGTGAATCAATAGTGAGTGATAAGTTCGCTGGGTTTTTAACCAACAAACATAGTGTGCATGTGTGAGAGCTAACTGAAAATGACTCTAAGCGATATTAGAAACTGTCTCATAACCAATAATATATGCTGCTATTCAGACCCTGCCAAGCAGTCTAATCGCCATAAAACGTTTTATTCCAACAATCCATGGCTCCATGTATCAGTGCTAAATATTCTTTTTCGCTTATTTTGTTTTCGTTCAATTTGTTCCTAACTCAACTAACATTTCATGTGAACATCGACTATAGACATAAAACATTTCACTTGGTGAAAGTCCACTGATTCACCTATTTGCCCAATATTATAATGTCATCAGTGGTCATTCTGTCACGAATTTTTTAGAAGTTACTTATGATCAAAACATGAAACCTGCCCTATTTGCACAGATCGTATCCCGCAACCAAAAAGTAAGTCTCTTTAGTGCAAACGACCACGCTTTGCGTTGATCCCTGGATTTAAGCAGGCGCGGAAGAAACAACTCAGACTTTTGGAGAGAGAACTATATTCCTTAGATGTTTTCTTAGTTATTCAGAACGATCTAAAGATAGCATTTTATTGGAGTCTTCAAAGAACGGAGCCCTGTCACCTAGGAATTCCAATTCAAGAAATAAATATCACGGTGGGATATGAATTTTTGAAGTGTTAGACAAGAAAAATCTCACATCTACGAGAATCCTTGTGATAAAGTCAGATTAAAACTAGTCGAGTAAGCAATCTAGCGGGAGACTCGTGAAATTTAGGGTTATGGCCGTAAACAGTGAGCCTATTTATGTTTTTGGTTTCGTGGGGATATTATCATATGACGACGTATAAAATGTCCACTGTGACAAATATTATAGACCTGAAAAAAATCAAATTGAACACGCTGAAGATGTCACAGGTATTTGGAGTTTGACAACGTTTTAGGTTTTAACATCTACTAGGAATCATGCCTACCTAGTGAAATCAAAATTCAGGAGTGAGGAGGTTCGAAGATATATATGACAGGCTATCAATATATTGAGGATCGACTGATCTAGACTGTCTAGCGATTGTAGGGGATGTTGAGCACGGCGTTCCCACTCGTGATCTCGTGTGGATGCATGATCAAACACCTTCAGCTAGGTGAGTCCATTAAAACTAATATGGTCAGCATCCAATGACGAAGACTTACAGAACTATTGACTTTGAGGATTTATTTACCGTTACACCGTAATATTGTAGCTAATTCCTGGATGTGCATGATGTTGACCTTATCATTCGATTAATTCAGTAAAAGTCCAAGAATCCAGACAAATGCATAGTTATCATTGTATGAACAACAATGAGCTCTAAACTGCAAAAACTTTAAAGCTTAAGCTCATTGTAAGTTTGTGGAATATTGTCTTCGTTATTTAACAGCGGAACTGAAAAAATTGGAAATTAAGCTGACAGTGTTCAGAAGAAGGGATATTGATATCCATGCAAATCATAAATATATATAATAAATATAAATGAGCAGTTATTAGTGTCGATAGAGCCGATAGTCTATGAGCATCAGTCAATATTACAACACGACAATACATGTGAGGAATAATCAGTAGACTAATAGAAAAATTGGTTAACACAGGTGAAAATCAACCGAATAAGTTAAAGTGAACATGATAAATAATAACAGGCTGAGTTTTTTAGTCGGCATCACCAATGTTGAATTATAGTCTAGTTCGATATTAGTGCTGCTATAATAGTAGACTTAATCTAAAAATTGTGAATGTGCCACAATGTGCTTACATAATCTATAAGATGTTACGTGAAAAACATACCGTTGCCTATTCCAACTTGTCCTATCGTCCGATCGTACTCAGTCTGCAATCCGGTTCAGCAACAGTGTCTCGAAAAATTCTCCTCGTACTGACAGTAGTGTGATGCCTCTATAGTTCTTGCATTTGCTCAGATCTCCTTTCTTTGGTATCTTGATGAGGTCTTCCTCTCTCCAGCGTGTCGGCGGCACTTGTTCTTCTTCCCAAATCTTCTTGAATAATGAGTGAAGCATGTTTGTACTCACTATTATGTCCGAATTCAGTGATTCATCTGGCATATTATCAGGTCCTGCTGCTTTCTCATTTTTGATTAGTCTGGTGGCGATCATGATTTATTCAGTAAAGAACTTATCAAAACAAAATCATCTAAGGTGTATTATATTTTACCAGACATATGCGTACCTTTGTTAATTCCCTCTAATTCTGTTTCTTCGGTTACATATTGGCATAGATAGACAAATGTTATATAGGACACAATTCAAATTACAACACCATTGACCTCATCATTCGGTGATGTTATTATTGTTATTATTCACAAACGGCTTATCAGTGCATAAGCGTTGTAGAGAAACGATTTTGGGCTTTTTCAGAAATGCAGTTGTACAGAAGTTTCAAAACCTTTTGTGTAATATTCACCATATTTAAATAGGCTCCGTAGAATTCGGTGGGATATTGAGTTTAATTAAAATATGAAAGTAAAGTAAGAAGAAAAAACCTCAAATATGTAAACAATTTACTGTGTGTAAGAGCGGAATAAAAATAAACCATAATATATGTAATAATTATAGTTTAGAATGATTTTTGTAAGTCTTAATCTCAGAGAATAATTGTCAAATATCAATTTGCATGGGTTATATACATTTGCTGAAGATAAAATGAATATCAAAAATAATTTATTTCAGTGTATCGCAAGATATTATACCTTAATTATAATCTTTGAATGTTGAAGAATAAAACGTTTTAGAAACAAAAGAAAGGATGAAAATAACGGAACAAGTGAAGTGACAGGGGATCAATCGTGGCAATGGATGTATATTGAGCATCGATCTCTTTTGTGAAGCAATAATTCTTGGACATTAATGTTTGTACTCCAGTACACCACGACCTTGAATATTTGGGCGACTACAAGCTTGATGCTAACTCTAAGGATTCTGAATTCTTAATTGTAACTGAAGTTTAGGAAATTTATAAATATGGGACACTATGTTTTGACGTTGTAAAACTCCTGCATCTGGGCTGTCGTAATTGATTTATTCACTAAAAATCGTGGATATCATGTTTTGTCAACCCAGCTTCAGAATACATGGTGGCAATCGATCTATCAATTTGACCCGAATAACCAGTATGAAGGAAATAATCCTCCGAATGTCACTTCTATGAACTTCGAATACACTATCGTAACATATCTGTAATACGGATAAAGGACATGACTCAAAATTATGCCTTACTTCATATTTCCGATGCATATTCTCCTTACAATAAGTCACATTATAGAAGCTACGTGGAGATCAGTAACTAGTAGGCACACAAATGTCCGCAAAATGTTGTCTAATTTGATGTATGTCACATAAATTATTTTCAGTATAGGAATTTTTTGAAGATTGTAGTATTTTAACAGTTGAATTGACGAGTAGATCTAGATTGACCACTATGGGAAACCTGAAAGCACTGAACGAACATTTCATCCTAGCATGGGACTCCGCAGCAGTGGGCATCCACGATCTCGCATGCAGGACTCGAACCAGGGAGAACCGGTATCATACGCGAACGCTTAACCCCTAAGCCACTAAACCAGCAGCCAGTAGAAGAGTTCCTTCATAGGGCGAGACGGCCTTCCAGTGCTTCGAGGTTTTTTCTGCTGGTACTGAATTCAATTGTTAAAAATATCAGTTATTTGCCAGTGTGAATTCGGCAGTCTCGATATGGCGTGTTATTTACTGGGGTGTACAATTCAGTCCCAATTCAACAGCTTACTATTTATGCATCAGCATTTTGTTATCCTTCTTCCGAAGAAAAACGGTCATAACACGCCTAAATAAATGGTTAAATGAGTTAGACGGTTCATATTACATAGTGTTTATAACTATTTGATAATGCCTGTAAGTTGACATATCTTATGTAACGTATGTTTATTGAAAATGAATTGTGATTATTGTTTATACATCTAGATGCGACGGTTAAACATTGACGCTGTGTTCACCGCAATCGCAACTGCGAAATTCAGTCAACTAATGGGTAACCTGTTTGATTCGGGTCTACTAATTAGTTTGTAAGTGTTACATGCAACCGTAGTGCCATCTTTGCATTGTAACGTTCATAATTCAATCAACTATTTCTGCGTTTTTCTCAGTATCAGTTTCCCATCCAAAATAGTCTACATGTGATGTATATTCTGCTGTATGTTCGAGCCAAGATTCGTAAAATATATGTTTACAGAGATGCTTACTACCTTACGTGATCGTCATCTGCCTCCATTTATGACGAAATGCTACAAAGTAGGTGTACAATGAATAGAGGTCGTCGATTATTTGTCGTTCGAACAAGGCCTTGGTGACTACACTTTCATTAAATTGATGATGCAACGGATGTTCTAATTTTACAACTAGTTACCAGTAGCACCTTCTATGTTCGATCGTTCCCAGTCAGATAGAAATCAGAAGTCAGACGAGAAGAGGCAGGAAAGATATATTTGATTTGTTACCAACATATCGGGGACCTTTTCTATAAGCTGGCTGATGAAACGTAGTAGCTGTGTCCCACGCCGTGTTAAGACGTGACCTGGTGCGGATGCATGACCGAAAGCCTTCAGCTAAACAAGTCCACTTAAACAACGTGGTCAGCATCCAATGTCGAACACTTAATGAGCTATTGATTTTGGGGAATTATTTACAGCTACA